TCTTAAGGGCTTTAGGTATCTTGACTATCCATTTGTACCTTCATGAGCACTTTGGGATACTGCTTCTAAATGGCTTCTGAGCGTTTGTTGTACATTAACCTCGTGTTGCTGTTGCTTCCGCTCCCCCACCCCCATTACCTTAGGTTTTATAGTCGGCATCACTGGATGAAGCTCCTGTCGTGAACACTGATTTATTTTGCATTCCTTGTATATTCAGTGCTTCCATAGATACCAGCTATTGAAATATCAAGGCTCTTGCTTTGATTTTAGTATATTTCTTTTCCCACATAATCTATATGGAGACATTCCCTAGTTAGAAGTGTTCTTCCATTGTGAAAATGTTTGTATCAAATAATTCATTTGTACAAGATCTGTTTTTTACCACTAATTCCATTAAAACAATCCTGTCGTTAGAGTGGGCCTTCTGACAAATTACCAAGAGCTCATGGAAGTTTGGATTAGGAGGGAGATGAAAATGATACAGTCATCTCATAGATATGTGCTTTTAACTTTCTGTAGTGTGAGCCAGCTGTCCCGCTTCTCGGTGAGAGAGTGACGTGCTCGAGCAGCCGGTTTGAGCCTGTGCCGGTGGCAGTTACTCCAGAGTAGCGGATGTTCTGTGGAACCGCGCTTCACTTATCTTCCTTGTCGTGTGTAGAGTAAGGCTGGAGATTCGGACACATCGCTCTAGTGTGTCAGCAGTGCGTAGCTCTTATGTTTGCATGGTGCCAGGGTAAGACTCTTCTGTACCTCTTGTATTTCCTGTGTATGAGAATGTTTTGGACCTCCTCTCTCCATGTCAAGTGATCATTCAGAAAAGCATCGTGGTGGCGGTACCTGTGTTGTGAGTATGATGGAGGTGTTTAAATGCTTCAGGGGAAAATTAACTGATGCAAGATTTGTGTTTTTCCTGTGACCATAAGTTTTCCCAGTCTGGGCCAAAATACTTAAATTCCCAAATTCTGTGCAAATAACTTTCTCTTCCCTGGCTTTAGATATTAAAGAACAAAGTTGAGCCACTTCTCATTTTTTAAAGGTAGATTTCAAAGTATTTTTGCCTTATTTGGCCTGACCTTTATTGCTTCAAAAACACATGGATAGAAAAATGAATATACTTTTGGGTCATGGATTTGAAATCTTAAAGTGTGCAAAACACATTTGTACATTAAAAATTTGGGTAGATTTCCTGTACCTTCTGGTGGGGTTAGGAACCCACCCCTGCATTACCTAAATAGAAAACATGCGTTGCTCTTGTCTTCATGAAACTTTGTCTCTGAAATTCCCACTGAGGAGACTGAGAATGTTCTCGGAGCGCTGCTGGCCATCTCGCATCATGGGATCAGCTTCACACGGGCTTGGGTGACACAACCATAAAAGCGCAGTTCTGACCCTGCGTTTCTGTGGATGTTGCTCCTGCTGGCGCTGTACCAATGGCAGCAGGTATCTTCTGTTGTGCACTTTCACGTTTTTCACTGCAGTGTTTCTGATTTCAGTTTACACACACACACACAAAAAAAAAATCACGCACAATCTTGTGTGAGGCCGAGAGATGCTGAATGGAATCAGCGGTCCCCTCTTGGTCCAGTTTTGCTTAAGGCTTTGTAAACTCTGCAGTCTTGAGCAACTGGTGTTTCTTTCACATAGATATATCTTGGATCAAGGTAAAATATAGGTGAAAAATCACGCTTTTGGTGTTCCTTTAATCAGAACAGCTTCCTGTGTACATACTTTCTCCCTACCAAACCCTTCCTGCTTTATTTTAGGTCATCCAGAAATATGTTTTTATAATGTTCTCAGTTGTGGATACTTCGCTGTGTTACAAAACTAAATGAATATACATGCCGCCTTAGCCAGGTTGAATGTTTGTGAAAAGCAGTGGTAATGTGTTTTTTCCTTTGTTTGAAATGTTACACTGAATGGAAGATGATTTTTTTTTTACTGTGTTTTCAATAAAGTTAAAATGTGATTCATAGTGGAGTTTTGCTTTTTTTTTCTTTTGTTTTAAGCGGTGAAAAAACCCAAAAAATCTCTGGCACTCTAAATTATCCTGTCAGTAGTTGATGTGAAAAGTTACATTCCTCTCTCTTCTTCCTTCCTCCCCCCAATTTAATGTGCTTTTGAGATTCTCAAATGATCATATTTTAAAAATATGTGGTGTATGGTATGTGATGGAGATTCCTGTACATTCAGAGGCATTGCAGTCCTGTGTTTAAGGCACACAATTAATTTGAACCCTCTACTTTAGTTAAGTGGGGTTGGTTGATGGAGGAGTACGCTGATTATGTAATGTACAAGTAATTTTCAATAGCTTCATAGTTTGACTGAAGAGGAATTTTTATATATTAAAAACCTGACCACCATGGTTCCTGAACTGTTTGAAACTTGAATAACTTCAGACTTTCCATTTCACAGGAGATTTTATGATTCTTGAACTTTAAAAACAGCATGTGGCTAGAGGGGGCCTGGAGATGTCTGATCTGTTCAGCGGCAGAGAATCAGACATACCCACGTTATTCCTGGTATTTAACCAGCCTGGCAGGGACTGTCTGCGCTGTGATTTCTGTGCTGTCTCTGGGCAGTATATATATAATATGAATTGTCCAACGTTTCCTAAATGTCAAATGCCACGCTTGAAGCTGTAATTTGCTTCTCAAACATCCATAGTAAGACAAGTCTTTATTTGCACCGGCTTTTTCCACACCTGAAAGGTTACATTTCCCTTTATCTTCTATATAAGAAGGGACCCCCCAATTCCCTCAATTGTTTTATGTAGCCTCTCATCATCCTTTCTGTTGCCGCTGGGGACCGTGGTGTGTTTCTAGAAATGCCAAGCTCAGAACTGGACACAGAAACCTCCAAGCTTGAGCCCTTACACTACATCATGACTTCAGGACTTTTTTGGGATGTTGGGTTTTTTTGGTGGTCTTTATTTATTTTTTTTTCAACATTCATTCATACTGAATTTGTGTTCCCAAGTATATTTCTGGATGTCTTTCTACAGAAAGTTTCTATATTGCTACGTATACAAGATGCAAGTCATCTCATACATGGGGTTATTCCTACATAAGTGTATATTTTGCACTTCAGTTTTTTGTGACACTGTTTACTGCTTCATCTGCAGGACTGTATCCTGTTACAGAAATCAGCTGAACTGACTTGGTAGGTTTCCCTTCTTGGCAAATCTCCTGTCAAATACTAGTTCTTTTCAAGAAGTTTCTACCAGTGTTTTTCTGGGAAATTAATGTCTGCATTTCCCCATATTTTCTTGCCTCTTCCTCAGTTTCAAGATAGATTTACCAATTCCTTGTCCTTTTGGAGTCTCACACATTCTCCCCAAGTTCCTGAAGACAACGGTCTCTGAAAGCCCTGTAGATGGCTTTCTGGCTGCCCAAGGGCAGAGTCGATAAGTGTCCTGGGAGGCTGTGATTTGGATTTGTGCTGATAACATCCTGATGTTTACAGTTGCTGCCAGGACAGTCAAGGACTTCTCAGCTTCTCTGCTGTGCCAGTGTCTGCAGGGGCAGGAGAAGCTGGGAGGGAGCACAGCCCCAATTACTAGCCTAGGATTCGACCTTATGTTTAGGACTGAGACCCAAATTGGCGAATGGTCTATTCCATATCATGCATGTCACGCCCAGTATATAGATGAGGAGCTGTCTGGAAGCTCACGCTCTTGCTGTGGGTTGTCTCTCTCTGGGTCACCCCTCTCTCAGAATCATCTCAGTCTCTTGGACAGTCGGACTCTTTTTTTTCCATTCTGGGATTGTGGTTTTGGGACTCTCCCTGCTCCAGGGTCGTTGACTGGCAGTGGGGTGAGCCTTGGTCATTGTGTGGTGAGCAGTACCACTGTGTATCTGTCACTCGTGTATATTTGTATATGTTATTATCATATCTATTCTTATTTCAATATTATTGTAGTTTAGTTATTATATGGTTTTTATCTCAACCCAAGGGTCTCTTTTCCCTTCACCCCGTTAATTCTCTGCCCCATCCCTGGGAGGGGGGGAGAGAGAGCAGGCAGCTGTTGTGGTGTTTGTCTGCCAGACAGGGCCAAAACCTACAACAATCAGCAGCTGATAAGTAAAACACTTTTTATCTGCTGGTTCTCTAATACAGCCTTTCCCACTTGCAGCTAAGACTGTACACCCATACACCTGCTATTTTCGTCACCACTGCACTTAATGCATGACACAATTTGATCTTTTCCGTATCATTTGGAAGCTCTATCATTTCTGTAGTTGAACAGTTATTGTCTTTTTATGCAAAATAAATTTTCTTGTTACCTTGATACGTTGCTGTTTCATTTTGGTTTAGCTTCTGACTTTTGTCTTTATGTACTCATACTTGTCTTATAAGTTATCTATAGTGACCTGCCTTAGTTTCAGCAGTGCATAGTTGAAAAGTCATGATTATGTTTTTATTTCTTTTGAAAGTGGTCAGTACTTACTGTGGTTCCAGGTTCTCTAAAGCTCTGAAAGGATCCTGCATCTTTGAGGGCCACTTGCCTACAGCTCTCTGGTCAGTTGTTCAAGCAGAAGCAGCCGCCAGGGTTCTAGTTAGTAAACATAGCTGAAGGGAAAGGAACAAAGTGTTTCTTGCTATAACTGCAAGTTGCAGTAGTGGCAGTCCTTGTGAGTGGAACATGTGCTGCAGCACATCAGGTGCAAAATACCAGGTGGGGGATAATGGTGGGGTGCTGCAGAGTGAACACAATGCCTGAAACAACCCTGGCTCATCTTTGAGAAAGGAAAATGAAATGGAGGAAGGTGGGAGTGACCGAGAGGAGAAGAGTAAAAATGTTGGAAGGCAAAGTGAAACTGAATATAAAAGGGAAGCAACGGCACCCTTCTAGCCTTTATTTCTCTAAATACAAAGCGAGTACCATTGTCCATACAAAATAATTTATTTTTGGAAGATCTGGATCTGAAATAACTCCAAAGTTAAAAGTACGTATGTTGTCAGCTACAGTCTACAAGGTAGTTAATTATGAGCTGTATGTATCAATATTTGAGGATTTTCTTTTGATAATGTGAGCGACATAAAGGACAACTATGTCGCTCTCCCAAGGAAAACTCTTCAAATGCTTGAAGACAGGTATGATGAAACAAATGTGAACAAGAAAGCAGTACAGTCTGTCGTGAAAACTGATTGCTGTTACCAGAGAAGAGACGGGCAGGATGAACTGTAGGACCGAGTGGCATGATACAGATCGGACAGTCAAAGATCTCTTGCCGAAATGCCTGAATAAAAACAAACGAACCTGGAGTGAAACAATGGAAGGTAAATATATCAGCAAAATGTGAATTCAAATGTTCAAATTTTATGGCTGTAATGTATTTTGAGAAACTAGTAGCATTGATTCTCAATTTTGTCTACAGCCTCTTCGGGCTCTTTAACTGACTAGATGAAAGATGCTGCTGAGGTAAATCTCTGAACTGTAAAAATTTTTTAATATTTCTGATTTGGAACAGAGGGACCAAAATTTAAAAAAAACAGAATGCACTGAATTGTGCTGAAAAGACTGACATATACGGCAAAACAGTGTAAAAGAGCTTGTAAATGCAAACCTACCTTTTTTAAAACAAAACAAAACCAACCTGCATCTGGATCTTTTCCCAGTCATTTTCACTTATTTCTTTTTCTTCCAGCTGCTGAAACATATCTCGACTTGCAGCTATAGAAGAATCTATCTCAGAAAAAAATTCATCTAGGTCCATGTTGTAAGAACTCAACAGTTGATTGCTGATCTGTTGAACCTGAAAAGAAAATTGACTGCTGTTAGATTTGGAGTTGCAGGTAGTCCATATATGGATGAAGTGTGGGCGATTTGACAAGTGGGTCTGATGAGTTGTGTGATCTGTGGAATTTTGTTCCAATTTGCAGCTGGTATCCAGATTTACGGATTAAAACATCAGGTACCCAGACTCCACGGATGGACCATGACACTTCAGAGAAAACACAGGGCCATGACTGAACTTTCTCAAGAGAGATGTACTGTTCTTAATGCATATGGGTGCAGCACAGGGGTACGTACTGCTGCGTTAGAGAAAGCAAGTGTAGAACTCAGCTGAGCATTGGTTATGTGATGGGAAACCAGGGCACATGCTGTGGGGCTGAAGGCGTGATACCCAGTGAGACAAGAGACATCTTAGGTGTAGTCCTTGGTATAGACTTTTATGACCCACTGGCTTAAATCTGTTCCTGCATATTGCACATATGCCTGAGCAATCTGGTCATCGGATCTGAAGATGCTTCCATCAGTGCTCAGCAAAATAAAATACCTAAAATCAATGAATGCTTTTCTTAATAATCTCCTTGAGTGCAATCCCAACTCACTGTGGCCACTTTCCCTCATTGCTACAACAATATTTGAAAGTTCCGTGGGGAATCACACAAGTGTTAGACTTGTCTTTTGTGACTCTGCTCGTCAATGCTTTCAGCAGTTTTAAGGAACATTTCAACACCCGTGCCATGACCACGCAGTGTGAGCTTTCCTCCCAGGCATTTCCTGTGAGTGAAAACTTGACAGGAAAACAAGGAGCCATCCTTTTGGGGAGGATGGGATGGGAAGTGGGAGGTGAGGCAGCAGAAGGGTTGTTGTCAAGGTCAGACAGCTTGATGGTAGCTGAACACTTTCCTCGTGTTTTGTTTCACTTATTTATTTTGGTGACTTTTCTCTACCAGGACATGTGCTCCCTTACAACTGCTGAAGGGACCCTTCGCAGCATATATCAGAATATTCAAAGTGAGCTTTTCTAGACCTGAAGGAATCAAGAGCCCAAATCCCACAAAAAACCCCACAAAAACTATCTGAAAAGCTCACTTAACATTCTAAAATTTTATTTAAACTTTGATTTCCCTAAATTTCTGTCTAAAACTATTAAATAACTTGTTAGTTAATGTTTTTTTGTTTAAAAAAAGTATGTTCACATAATATGGATGTATAAAAATATCTTCAATTGGAACACATAAGGTTGCTCAACAAAGACCTTAGACACAGGCAGTGTCCAGGTAAGGGAAGTGGTGAAAACCATCAAGTAAGGAAAGTTGTTTGCTTCTTGACATAAGATGTGACTCTGTGTATTCTTTTTATTTTATAGTCCGAGTCACTGCTAACTGAGACCAGTTATGACTGTATTTCCAAAGGATCCCTGACACAACAGCCATTGAAAGGATGTATCTGTTTTCAGTACAAATCAGATTTAGTTACCTTGTTACTTAGTGCTGATGTAGCAATATAACTTGGAAGAAAAAAAAAAAAAAAGGAAAAAAACCATCCCCTGAGACCTCTTGCATAGTGTATGTATTTAAATCACAATGCGACAGGAGAAGCAGCAGCCCCTTCTGTACTTTGTGAGAGAATCCTGTGTCTAGCAAAGAGCAGACAGGTAATCTTGTGCTCTGCTCATGACTGTTCACTGACAAGAAAGAAAAAAACCTGATGCTATCCCATGCAAACATGCACACTGACCTTCAGTGGTATGTGTAAAACAAAAAAACAAACAAGAATCCCAGCATGGGCTTCCTTCAATATTTACACTTTGTGGTCTCCAAACAATCCCAAATGATGACACTGTGGGCTTCCTGAATGGGACATGAAATCCTAGTGCACTACCCTTCAATCAGGTTATATCTTTAACTAATGTGATTATTTATTTAATTAAGCAATGCTAGTCCTAGTAAGATTTATCTGAACAATTGTTAGCTGGGTTTTAGAGCTGAATCTGCTCCACATTGCCATTTTAACTGCTCTTACTGATTTCATTTTAAAATCTGACTTCAGGAAGAACAGGCTAAGATTACACCTAAACCGTATAGAATTCATGGGTTCTGTTCAATATCAAGTAAAGACCGATCCATTTGAAAAAACTTTTGGTCCTGATTTAGGCTTGGTCTTCATTTATATTAGTATCAAAGCTGAACAGACCTGCACTATCTTCATAAGGAAGCTGGGGGGATGTAATAGAAAGCTCGAGCAGCCATGATGATGATTTCTAATAGCCTCTCAGGACCCAAAATTTGAGGAAGATCAATCATGTTTTAACTCTGCCCTTATCCAGTGTCTATTTCTATGAATGTGTGAGCAGCACAGCCAGCGGCTGGCCGGTTCCAGGACTTGGCCTGTCTTTGTGAGCTGTACTGTGACTAGACAGCCTGCTGAAGAAAATCACCCAAGAAGGAGAGCTGAAAGCAGGGGGCAGAGGGCTGCATCAAGCCAGCACTGCCCTCTAAAGTCTGTGCTTGTGCTGCTTGTTCTGCTTGTTCATTTTTCCCTCAGCAGGCAGAAGCCCTCCATTTCTTCCCTGAGCTTGCACTTGTGTTTCTCTTCCCCATTTCACTAAGTGATGGTGAAGGTCCTCCTTCACCATCTTGAGCAGAAACTAAAAATAAAGAGAGGAGAACTCTTCTCCTGCCTGAGACGGTGATCTGTTAAATTCCCCAGCTGCTAAGACAGTATCTGCTCTGAGCTATTCCTGTGTTTTTTGCAGTATGACCTAACCCAACCCATATCCATCCATCAGCAAATAAAGCCTAAGGTTGGGGAGAAAAAAAGAGTATAACTGAAATTTATACCAAAATTTATGCTAACTGGCAAATCAGTGCAAACTATCAATGTGAACAGAAAGGAAATAAGGATTTTGTATAATTTGTTAGTGTCAGCATGTTCTAGGATTTAAATATTAAATCTTGCTGTGCTTTAGTGCATAATACTGAATAACCTTTTTTCCCCAGAACAAGTGAAACTGATTAATTGAATTTATTTCTGAAAACACTATACCTCTATATTTTGTGTCTGTGACTTCTTAAAACTTGAACAGAATGGCATGAACTGAGTATTTGAAATACCCTATCAGGGTGCAAAACTACATCAGTCATCTGTACAGCAGCACAAGACTATGACAAAATAAAACGATGAAACAAAGCACCGAGGTGAACTTTGTCCACAGAGAAGCCTTTTTAAGTGATCCAGTGTCAGCAAATTGCTTACTAATGTGTTGACTTATGGCAACCCTCAAAAGTAAAATGAAAAGGCTGGAATTTACGGCATATCAATGAATCAGTTGATAAGCTTTTACTGGTTTAATATCCTCCTAGTTTTGCTGCTTGGAGCCACTTCAAGTTAGCAACAGAATGTTTACCATCTCCGTGTGATAAAGGAAGTCAAACGACTAAACAAATTCCAGACCATTATGCTGTTTGGCGAGATTTAAATTAAAATCGTTGGGAGAAATCATGTGGAGAGGGGGAGGAAGAAACTAAAGTCAACTACATCATTTCACAAGGACTTACCTCCCTTCCTAAACAATGGCAAGATTTTTAGCAAAGCTGAGATAATGTAATGCATTTGAAAAGATTTAATTGCACCAATAAAAGACTATACCACAATTAAATGGCATACAGAAGTGACATTTATAGGTAGGATCAAAGAAATTCACTACCTAACATGCTGAAGCAACACCCTGTTTTCTGTGTATGCTCGTGCTAAAAAGTAGTCTGCTTTGGTTTCAGTGACCTTTCTTATCTCCTTTGATCTAGATTATTAAAAATTTTAATGATAGGTGTAATAAGGGCTACTGTAGCACCCTGAAACAAGTAATATGTGTCCTTCCTAGTACAAGTATTTCAGACCTTGTTTTTTATTTTGTTTTATTTATTTGAGAGTATGAAACTTGACATTCAAACTTTGTGATCCTTCCAGAGGAGGTAGGGTTATTAAAAATTTGATTTTTTTTTTTTCCTCCAATTGTGATGCCATTTGATTATGCTAATGTTTAGGGAGTGACATTTTAAAAGCACAGCACAAATTTGAGAGGCAAAATTTATTTTAGAAAAGCTTTTTAGCATCTGGAAATGGACAGCTCCTTGTGAAAAACTTCAGTGTTTTCATTAACCAACAAAAAAATATATATACCAAAGTCTAAGAGTGAACAGCAGGTAAACCCATCTACTTGAAAGCTGCTACGGAAAAATAAGTGTATCCTTTAATCATAACCGGTACTGAATTCATTTAAATCTGGCTAATCCATATGAGAAGACTTCATAAATTTATTCTTAAGAGAAGGTGAAAAAATACTGCCTATTTTGTTCCCTGCAAAATCCTAAATGTTACATATGTGAATTATTTCCTAATGCTGTGGACTATATATGGATACTATGTGACATGAACACCTTCCCATGGTTTATAATCATGGGATAAAATGCGGGCAGTCTATCAGGCTGTTTCTCTCTAAAACAGATACTGAGATAGGGGCCCTAACAGCTAGCCCATTGTAGGTAGCTTGGTAGACTGCTGTACTGTAGACATCTGAAGTTGGGTGAGAGAAATTTTAACAAATGACACTCAGCTGCAACTTGCAGGATATTTAGAAGCATTGTTCAACTTTCCTTTACTGAGAGCCTGTTTATACCTAAGCATGATAACTTGGGCTCCCAGAACATTGAGAACCTTCCTGGGAAGGAGGCATATGACCGTTTCCTCAAGTCTTCCATGAGGTAAAGCCCAAGTGTTTCTGCTGTCTGTTCTCATTGTGCTACTTGATGACAGTCAGAATCCACTGAAGGGTTCACTTCTTCCAAACTTCAGTGTTTGAGCACTTCCAAGTATAACTTTAGCTTTTTTCAGGTACCTCTGTATCATTTTCCCTGTTGCAGCAAAGGTCTTTGCACTGATTACAAAGGCAACAGCAACCTGCAAGCTGTCTTGCTGTCAAGGCCAAGAACAGTATTTTCTTTTTGTGTCACCACACAAGCACAACCGTGGTACCAGTTTTGTTGCAACAGTCTGCAAGATCACCTCTAGGGTACCCATCTTGCTATCATACATAAATGCGTCATATAGGAAGAGAGGGTCTTTGCCTCCAAAGCTCTCCGCTAACAGGAGTAAGCACCAGACATACTATCAGGCAGTAACAGGATTTTTTCTGCAAGCGCTCTTCTGTTTAACTAAAGTGGTAATGTAAAAAAACCCCAAACAATCGATTTAAGTATTGGTTTAAACCTACCACTGATTCAGCTTGCAACTTGAGTCAGAGATTTTCCTAGTTGCGTGCACTAGCTACATTCAAATGGCTGTCTTGTGTAGCTTTGTTCATCTCTTAGCCGGGCTGTTCGGTAATCTGGACTGGAAGACCACAATTTGGTAGTTGCTGAAGATGTGTGTCAGAGAAGTTTTTGTTACTGAAAAGTTGAGCTGGGCTGGCTGTTAAAAACTGGGGGAAGACTGGAAGTTGAGAAAGGAAGACTTGAGGATTGCACGAGGACTCTGCAGCAGCTGCGTGCTTAAAGGCAGGCAGGGTCATTGCAAAATGCTTGCACCTGATTTGGCCTCATTTGTGTGGGGTCAGGACCCCAATTTATTACAGTCTGACCTGCATCCGAGCAGACGTTAGAGAAGGGCAAAGCTAGGGAATGCAGCTATCCAGTTCAACGTCCAGTGAGGGAGCAATGACAGTGAAATAAATTATGATTTTTTATGGATCTATTTGTTTCTCCCCTTACTGTACTCCCTTCATGTAATTCTATAGGAAAACAGATTACTGATTTATCAAAAAGCGAAATACAGAGCCTCACAAAAAGCCCCACTGTTGTCAGGCTAGACAAAAGGCAGGCCTTAAAATTAAATATTTAACTTATTTTCCTTCTACATTTTAAAGAGGATGGAATGAACAGACTAACAAAAGAGCCGAGTGTTTCCAGTGCTGCCTGTTTGATATGAATATGAAGGAATAAATGAAAAGGTATTGAGCTGATATTCAGTAGTTTTGATTTAAGGGAGCTGAATCAGACCAAAGAAACAAACACAACATACCTTTCTCTCAAAGAATTGTTTCCTTAATTTACTGTCTTTAGGAGGCACAGTTTTTCTCAAGTTTTTATACCATTTTCTAACAATATATCCCCTCCAGGAAGCTTGAATTCTGCAAGACACAATTTTGCTCAAGAAAAAGGAAACTCAAATTTATATAATTTTACTATTTTAATGAAACAAAATATTTTATGCATTTTTTTAACTGTATACTTTTATAATGCATTCATTCTGTCTAGTTTCTTAGTGTATTAAAGTTTTAACACATTTAGAACATTATTTAGAAATAAATATTGTCCAGTGACAACACCTGTAGCAGATGTAAGACTTACCTAATAGCGCACTTTATTTTAAACAAGCGTGCCCCATCATGTATTACTCTGGTCTGATACTGCTCCTTTCTACACATAGGACAAGACTTTTTACCTGTAAATTTTTCAAAGGCTTTCAGGCATGCCTGAAAAAAAGAATTGCTATTACTTACAATATATTTTATATCACTGGAAGAGATGAAACAGGATAGATTACAGAACGTAAAAACAGTTTATTCAACAATCCATGAACACTCTACAAGGTGTGTGTTTTTATAATTAAAATGTTAAGAGAATTTTGTAAATCTCCATATATATGCATGAAATTTAATGAATTCATGCTTAGTATGCAAATATATAGCTCAGTTACAAACTGTGTTTTCCCATATGGTTTTTAAAAAGGTAATAAAATTGAATAAAGTACTACATCATAAAATAGCCTTAAATTGTATTTCTTACCATAAAAATCTGGAATCAAAATTACTTTTTGAGATTATTACATTTAATTAATTAAGATAGTTACTTAAGTAGTTTAATTAAAATACTCGTGTATTATGTGCTTGAATAGTTATATAAAAATGTACTCACTTTATGGAACACATGGGAACATGAAAGCAGCACCTGTTTTTCAAAGGAAAAAAAAAAAGCCCAAACTTGACTTTAAACCATTCTACAAGCTGAAAAGTAAAAAAATGCTGACAACAAGAGTTCTGACTGCCTGAAAGGTCATCAGTTTCTTTCTGTTACTGCTGCAGTCTTTCCGGTGAAAATAAAATTAGTCTTCTATAGAAATTGCTTAATATATTGTATCTTAAACCAATATGTGAATTTTGTTAACAACACATGGAGTGTCAGAAAGCAAGAAATGCCAACTGGTATAGACTGGAGGAAAATATTATAAAACAAGTACTTAAAATGAAAGCTGATTAATTTTTTTTCCCTTTTCCCCACAGAAATGTTAAATTTCAAGAAGTGATATACATCAAATGCAGCATTTCACACATACAATAAAACAAAAGAGAAAGCATGTTCACAGGCTACAAGAAAACTTCACCTTTATCTGACCTAAATTCCCACCAAATGCTGATGATCTCCATCCTGACAAAAGATATAGAGTTGGACAAAAAAGGCAGTTGGCTCTTAGAGGAAGGAAAAACTGGGAAAGGAGTGAAAAAAAGAACAAGTAGTGTGCACTATTGAGCTGGCAAACACAAGAGGATTAATGGCTAGCAGCCAGCTGAAGGGAAAGCTTTCAGATACAGTGGCTTTTTTCCCTTGAGGGAGGAAAGCTAACGAAACACTGAGGACAAAAAGAATTCCAGAGACACTTCCCTTTTTGTGCCAAATCTAAAGTAACCTTTTTAATGAGTGCTGTCTTTTGCTCTCTCTTGTCGAGCTTTAGACTTTCAGGGTAGCAAGAAATTGGCAGAATGGTCTTTGGCCAGATCCATCCCGCCTGTCTGGGGACAATTGTACACCTTCAGTTAACGTTGCTGTAAAAGCAAGCAAAAGCCTTGTATCTGAGGTTATTGAAAGACCTTGATTCACATCACAAACTTGGCTATAAAAAGTCATCAAGAAAAATTTAAAAAGGCAGAAAAAACCACCCTAAAATGCAACGTAGAAAGAAACTTGCAAGCAGTTGGGATAATTCTTCTAATTACCATCATCACCTCTCTGAAGCAGCCCTCCTCTTCAGTCAGTCACTTGTCCCTTTTGCTTAACATTTTCAAGATGATAGATGAGAGAATCTAATAAAGCGTGACATATTTGTGCTTATGCTACACACATGCACTGAATAAAGCCATCAAGGTAAATGCAAGCATTTCTTCTCTTAGCCTAAGGAAGTTACTAGTATTCAGAGCATACCTACTTCCATTTTTCCAATAGAAATAACTATTGAACTAAACTGCAAAGCAACAAAACTTGTGAGAAAACAACATACGTCTTAAATTTTGTAATTAGTGAATATTTACCATTCTTATGAATGAAGGCTAGGATCATAGCTAACAGGAGTTTAAATGAAGCAAAAAATAGCTTACACCTGCTTTGCAAGAACAAAGATTACCTTCTTCTCTGCTTTCATAAGTTCAGAAGTGAACAGTCACTATCAACTTTTCTCTGCCCTGTCATGTCCAACACACTTTCAGAGCTGGCCACTGATAGCTGGGTCCCGCTATTAAATGTTAAATGGTGTCTTAAAGCAGAATCTTTCATTTCTTTCCTTTCTTCCTCCAGCTGATGATTTTTAGCAGTAACTCTGGATTTTTTTTTTTTTTAATACAGTTGTGTAATCCACACAATCATACATATACCTGAGGCTGAAGTGCAAATTCTTCCCTGCATATTGCACAAGGTTGTATGGAGTCTCCATGCTGTATGGATCTCTCCTTTATTTTCCCCCATTCTTCAGCAGTCAGTGGTAACGAAGGAGGCTCGACTAGGCCTAATTTCTGAGCTGTAGACAATAACAACAACAGATCATTGAATAAAACCCATTGGCAGATGCAGACAATGGATTTTCTTCGTGTGAAATTCATTGATGATGCACTTATTTAAAAATACTTTAATACAGATGCTTCATATAAACCTATTACCAGACAAACCACTGGCAGGCCACATACTTCTTACTATTAGCTATTCAGCAATGGTCAGAAATGCTTTTACATGCAGGATTTATACAGGAAAATTTTAAATGTTACTTTCGTTTGCTGAGAAATTTGAATTTCTTTTGATACCTTTCCACAGCCATTTTGATGGGGAATATTAACTAGCCAATGTAACAATGCACAATAACATAATTATGTTTGTACAAACAAAATCTCTGTTAGAATTAATTTGTTAGGGTTTCTTCAACATTACATTTTTGTATACTCAGAAATAAAAACAAACAAAGTGGTAGAATAAAAGACTGTTGCTGCTGCAAAATGCTGAAGTGTAATGAGACTGTGATGGATGCAAGAGAAATAAATAACATAAAGAAACACAGAGATTGCATCACTGTGATAACTGAGCTTGTCAATCTCAAATGATAACTGTGAGGTGCCTTGCTGCATGTCCATGTGAAATCTCTGCCTTCTCAAAGAAGGAATCAGTGGAAATACCTACAATATTCCCCTCCGCCCCCCCCCAAATAGCAGATAAAGTCCAGTGTCAGTATCTCAGTAGTAAAAAAAGATGCCAGTAGGAAGAGCAAATAATAGATCTTTGTCATCTTTGAAGACTGGAGGAAGCAGCTTGTATATTCACCAAAGTCAGCAGAGGAATGTCTAAGGAATGTGTAATAAGCCAACGACGTGAGTCCATGATGAGGTCTCAACAGTATTTGCTAAAACCAGAAAGTATGAGGGACATGCAATAGTTAGAATGCAAGCTGATGACACCTAGATGAGAGGTTTAGTTCTAAATGGAAAGGAAAGGGTTAAATCTTTCATTCATACCAAAATCTTTGCATAAATCAGACATTAATAAGCAGCACTTACGTGTTCTGTATAAGCTTTCAAAGCCCTGTCAGACAAACCCATTATATGAGTTAGTCATGAAGAGAAAAGGAATCCTAACAAACGAAAAAAATGGGGTTTTGGTGATCCACTTGCTCAAGTGTCTGATTATTTCTAGAATAGGATTTGTTAATTTTTGAGATAAAAATTCCACTCCAGAGCTCATTCATCTACAGATGTATATCGTTAATCATTGAAAATTTGCGCAAAACTCTCTGATCTTTTTAAAGAACTTTTGTGAGGTACGAAAGGAATTATACGGAATACTTTCTTCTCTCTGGTTGAACTATCTGCCTAACCTACTTTCTTGTGAGCTCATGACATCCTTCAAACATAAATCAATTTGATTCCATAACTTAGAATAACAGGATGGCTTTGAGGTTCCAAGCTGAGTCAGTTGAAGCTTTTGGAACTACATGGAAAGTGCTTTCTCTACATATGATTTGTTTCACATATACCCCACCTTGTTACTGTTGTTACCCTTGTAAAGGTGTCAAGTCGAAAGTAAGCAATGTTGCATTAAAAGCATTAAAAGAAAATTTGAATCAATCAATGACGTAGATGACATCGGTGGTCATCTATGAATGGTCCCAGAGGTGCGCAGTTTTGGTTCCTGGACAACTTGGTACCAAGACACAAACACATCACTTCCACATGTGCAGGAGCTCGCAGCTCGGCCTTCAGGCTATGGGCTAGAATTCAAACCACTCTGTGTCAGGCAGCAAAGCGCATACGTATGTATTTACAGCGCTGTAATTTCAGAATGTAGAATACACACTGTATTAACATAAAATAGCTTTGTCTATCAGTTTTGGGGGAGTAAAATGCTTTTATCTGGTGCTCTTGCTGGTGATAAATAATATGAGCTTTAAGAGAAATATGAAGGATCCTGCAAGCTTTTTAGAATATAAAAACTAGTTCAGACCATGTATTTTGCTTACAGCTTACACACAAATTTCTGAAATTGGTAGCCAAGTGAGAGGAAGTTTTCCTAACCAGGACTGCTTTCCCTCTTGACCATTCAACTTTTGAAGAGCATATATTGCACAGATCCGTGCTTCTGCTACAAAAGAAGAATCAAATTATAAAATACATTATAAAAGTTTCAGTAAAAATATAGATAAAGTTTAGTTGACCTAAGGGTATCAGTGAATGAGTAAGAAAATCAGATCCTGTTTTGATAGTCCAGTATACACAAGTGATGGTCTTTCAGATGAGAAATTTTCAATACACCGGGAGCAAACAAGATAGCAAACCAGTCACAGCACGAAAGGCAGTATCACAACATAAAAAATGCCTACCCTTTATTTTTTTTTTGAGCACTGTGGTCAGAGACTGTTTTAAGGAAAACAATGAGATGGCTTTGTGGAAAGCCTTTTGTATACCCCCGGGGTAAGAAAAAATGCTTATTTAAAACTTCACAAATGGATGATTAAAGCTGCCAAATAGGAAGAGATTGTCGGCAAAACCTAACTTCTAAATAATATAAACCAGATGGGATATTTGTGAGGGACAGGTTATACAGGTGTTTAGAAGGAAAGCTTTTATACAGCATAGTTGATGAAGGAAAACTGGCAGCAGGACACACAAGAAGGGATATGTGGTTGAAGCAAAAGGCTCTGTGAAGGTATTCTGAAAGCAGCACTTTGAATAAATACAAGCAATGAAAGCCTACGTTTATCACAGCTCAAGACATCCAAGAGTTTTCATCCTTTAGAATCAAGTTTACAAGCCCAACCCATTTACTGACACACCCATTTACAACCAAGTGAGTTATTTATCCTAAAATGAACGTTAGCAAAATGATTACACACATTAACTCTTAAACTATTATTATTTGATGTTGGGACTCAAGTCCCTGTTGAGAAAAAAATAATGACAGAGGCCTGTAAGATTTTGTTTGATTACCTAAAAACTCAGGAATAAATATTTGCCTTAAATTACATTTTCAAAGTTGTTTCACAGCTATAAGATTTAAACCACACAATTCTTATGAAGAGAATGCTTGATATAAACATTTTGAAATAATGAGAGTTGATAGGCAAAAATGCTAATAACCAAAACCCAGAAACAACTGCAATTTGTAAAATCTTTCAGCACATTCTTTTGAATCACTTGCACAAGCATTAATTTGGGACATTTCAGTCAATGATCAATGCTGTGATTTAAAGAGAAAATACTTTGTCTTTCTTATAATTGCAGAGAACATGCTCACACTTGGGCTGCATTTTTTCACCACAACCTTTAGCTTCCATACTCACTCATTATTTATATTTGCTTTAACCCCAGTACCTCTCTGCTGTTTTTCCCCCCCCATCTTCTTTTCTTTCAAATTCCTCTTCAAAACGAACCAAAGAAAAAAAACTCTCCCATCTTTAGAACCATAGGCATGTAAACATAGCAATAATCACTTTGTCTTACTACCCTTGCCCTACCACTTGTTACACTCACTTGTTGTGTATTATCTTAAGTTACCCTCTTAACCTTCAGCTGATTCCAACAGGCAGATGCCTGTGCTTGTATGGAGCCTCATTGATTTACATGGTTCTCTTTAGCGCTGGGACTACTGTGACAGTTACTATAGCAAAGGCAACATGATCTTCAGAGAGGCCTAAGGGCGTTTTTGTGAAAAAGAATAAATAAAAAAATTATTAATGATGATGAAAGTTTATTATCCTTACAACGGCAAATTGTGGAGCCAGAAGGTCCTTTAAGAAGAGCCAGATCAAGACAACCAAAAGGCTGGAGCCAAGATGATGTTCATGGCAAAAATATTGTAGAAACCTTTGGAAAGGGAAATACAAGACTGAAAGTGGCAGGCGGGAACCAGGACTCCTGGTCTCTTAAGATGCTCCCTCACTTTGTTTTTTTAAGCAATATTGTCTGTTGCTGCTGTACAACTGTATTATAATATTATTTAAAAGTTAGTTTTCTCACCAGGCATCATTCCAAGCCCTCACATCTGTGACTTTTATCTTGTTGCAAGTTTGCTTCTAAATTTGAAAAAGGTATTTAACTACAGGTGTTAATTCTTCCCAGGTTTAGCCTCAGGACCATTGCAAAAACAAACCTTTTAAACTTTGAGTAAAGGTGGGTATATATTAACAAAGAATACATTTAATACAGCACTAGTGAACGTCTTTTTACTGAATAAGGAATAAACCAAACCATTTCAAACAGACTGAAAAAAAATCTTGATACTAAAACATTCCTCCGAATAAAAACTATATCAAAATTGTTGATGTTTGCTTAAGAACATAAGGTAAAGAAAGTTATGACAGTCCGTATACAAAACATATTAAAAAAAGTGTAAAAGACTTCCTGCCTCTTAATGAAGAATTCCTCTTCATCAAGATGCACTAGCGTATTCATTTTTACCTTCATTGTCACAAGAATAATATTTTAAAATTCATTTCACATATGAAAAGACATGTTCAAGCCTCTGATTGCAATTCCATTGTTCACCTGATGGCCTAAACGGATGAATTTTGACAAATTTTAAACCAGGAATTTATGCTGTTTAGCGTTAAATTATCTTTCTGACCAGAAAGCTCAGCTTCCTCAGTTTATTTTCAATAAAAACAAAACTCACAAATCAGAATATACTGGTTTACCTAATGTTAGCTGTGGAGGACGGGGATCAAGAACATACTCCTTTTCTGCATCTTCCTTGTTTGTGTGGCGAGTACTTTTTTTTCTTAGTCCAGTATCTACTACTGCTCTGACCATTTCTTTGTTCACGGGTTTGTAAATGTTCTTGGTATTCCTCATCCTTGACTTAAAAGGATCTGCTAATGAAAGATCCTGGATCTGATGACTGTGTATTATATGATCCTGTAAAGCAACTGCAGAAACTGCTATCATGTCTCGTTTGGAGGAGCGGACCTAAAAAGAAAAAAAAAAAGCTTGAATAATTATTGTTATAAATTATTTAAAAACATAAATATTATACTAAATTAAAAGAAATTCAGTTCTTACCCAATGCTTTTGACTTGTCAAAGGCTTATATACATATGCAATTCCTGTACTTGAAGCCTAACATACAATTGCCATAATACGAACTTTAAGATTGATGTTTCTGACACATCCTACTTTTAACATATAAAAAGTCAAATGAAATCTTTGATTTATCATTTATATTAAATAAAATAGCAGTAATTTTTAAGTTTTAATTACTGAGCCCATAATTATTATATGGAATAAACTCATTATGGACTATAAAAGTTTGGCATGCCCAAACACATTTTTACTTCAATATAATTAAAAACAATCCCAAAGGCTAACCTTGCCTTCCAGAACACTGAATATAAACAAGAATATATTATTTTTATATGAGGAATGGGCTTATCTATCTATTCCTCCATTTCTCCACACCCTTCTGACTTATTTTAAAAGATGTGAAATCATACCTTGTAAAAATCATGATGCTCCATTGATAATCTTTAGCTGATTTTACAGGACTCGTGTGGCTCTACAAACAGACATGTACAAGAACTTGAATAATATTTCTCAGCAGAAACAGCCTCACCGACAGCAGAAGAGAAACCTACAATTTCACTCGTTTTCTCCTAGGCCCTCCATGGGAGACAGCTTAACATGTGTTGCAGGCAGAGAAGTTAACTTTGGATCCATAACCCAACTGTGCTCTCTCCTGTCAGCCACACATCACCCCCAGCACACTGGCCATGGTGTGCACAGAATACCTTCAACATGAATGGTGGGAACCACAAATTTCAAGCTGAGCCAAGGGAAAAATAGAGCCACAGCACTAAACCCCACTGAACTGTTGTTCTGCCCGGTTAGTTTGTTGTAGGCAACCATGCCGTTAGCAACCCCTTTGTGGCTGAAGCTGCTCCACTGTGATCTTAATATTCTCATCAGTACAGCTGGAAAAACCATGGCCTGGCTCCGCGGCGGAGAGGAGCTGGCAGAGGGGAGGTGACACCCCACTCTTACCACACTGATTTGTTCAATGTGTAGTTGTTCCTCTTGGTACTGTTAACTGTAACCAACACCACTCTCCAAACTAAATGGTAGCTGAGAAAGCCGACATGGGTTTATTCAGTGCTGGGTACACAGGGGATTTCTCCGCCTAACGTGAACACTGTCAGACAAAAACACATTCATTATATACATTAAATGTATGAATATTCATGTTGTTTACCCACCTATTTCCGAAATCTGTTAAGTTGCATGTATACTAGCTATAAATACAAGTTGTTTTACCTGTGTATATGGTAACTGTCACCAGTCTTGGTCAGCAGAATGCTGCTTTCCTGGAGTAAGCTAGGTTTTTGGAAGCAGCTTGCTTCCTTGAGTAAAGATACACTGAGATAGCTTTAGGAAACATCCTTTTTCCCTTGAGCTCATTATTCTCTGGCAGACCAGTTCAGCACGCAGGCTTGCTTATCTTGTTTGTACATAGTTTACACAGAACGGCTGAACTGCTGAAGCTTCTGGTATCACTGCCACAGCCAACCATGTGCTCCCCATGGCTCTCGGCCGAGACCCTTCCACCTCTGGGTGACTGGAGCGGCCGCACTGTCCCCACCACGGCCCCTCACAGGGACCAGTGCGTGTCCCTGGGCAGAATGAGGCCATCGCCCCTTCCAGCCAGGCCCTGCCAGCCAGGCCCTGCATCTGAGCCGCCTCATGGCACTGCCAACCCTGCTCCTGGCCTAGCACCAGCCCCTACCCATGGCCTCGATGCTCTTGTTTCCCTCTCGTACCGTTTTTACCTCACAGACCTCGCCCCTGTGCCCGACCACAGCCCCACTGGCGCTCACCCGCAGCTGCCTCGCTGGTCGCGGCAGGGGCCGTGTTGCCGGGCAATGGAACTCCCCAGCAGGGCGATGGCAGCCGAGGCTGCTGCACAAGGGCGGTGGGCGCACGGGAAGGTGCTGTGGGGAAGGCGCCAAGTGGGAAACACGTCTCTCCTCAGGGGTTTGTCGGCTGTCACTTCTTCTGGCCTGGCCCCAGTGGTTGCTCATGGGGACATCCATTTGAAGTGATGCACTGTTGGCTTTAAATTTGAAGGGAAGCCACATCACCGCCATTCTGGGTGAGCTGTGTCTCTGGCAATTCCACAGGGCCACCGTTATTAAAATATCTTTTCTGTACAAAGAGAACAGATGAGTGGTATCCATATGGATCAAGACAAAGTTCCTTGTCGCCTAGTGTCCCAAATTCGGCCACGGCAAAAGGTAGATATCTTGGGGAGACTGTAAAACTGGGGTTAGTGTGCAGGGCAGCTCCTTCAAGGACTTTCCAGGCTTCAGAGCGCGTCTTCCTGAGCTAGGAGCACTGCCTGCATTTTAAATAACCACTGATGTGTTTCTTAAAGATCCAGAAATGTGCAAAGGTACTTTTAGCCCCTAGTAGGAGTGTTGGCTTCCTCTGGGCATTTTCCTGGTTATTCTCACTTGGCGGCCCCTTATATCCCAAGTGGAGCACAGGTACAGATGCTGCCTCGAGTCCAGCTGTGCCGTTTCTTTAATCTTTTGGGTTTAAATAGTTGTCAGGGTCCTCCTCAGCTGCTACTGACTTGAGAGATTAATTTTCTTGTGGAACTGACATTTTCCAAGGAAAAGCAGAGAGGCTATCCTGAGAGTAATCCTTTGAGCAGCATATAAATGGAGTGATTAAGCCACTGGATGCACTTCTTCTCTGTAATTATAGTAATTACTTTAAAGTCAAATCTGCAAATGAGAATACCTCTGTGTACTATAGGGGAAGATTTAGAAAGCAGCTGAAGTGGCTACCTTTAAAATGACATTAAATCATTGATTGTTTCTAAAGACAGGAATAAATAGATAAAATAATGGTTTAAAAACTGAACTTGCAAGTTAGCCTGACATGAAACCTCACTCAGTAATACCATAAAGGGATGTTCTACAATATAAACTTTTAAAGATTTTTAGTAATAAATTTTAATTAGAAAATAAAGTAGAAAACTTCACTTTCTGCTGTCTAAAATTTAAATGAGAGTGTAAATGCTGTAATATTTGCAAAAATAAAGGAATCTTTGAGTTTCTTAAGCTTGCTAATAAGCTTCTCTTAAAATAATGTTTGCCATCTCTTCTATTTCTGTCATACCTCATTAAGGTGATCCTATACACATGTATGCTTAATTAAGGCTTTTCATTAAAATAAGCCTTTAATCCAAAGGTGCTGGGCCTTAACTGAAACTCGGAGAAGATTAGTGTTGTCTTGTATATTGGTTTTCACTTTTACTGTACTTCCTACTGCTTCTAAACTAAAACGTCTGTATTAGACTTGGCTGATACATGGTCAGGAAGAAATTAAAATTCATACTGCAGTCTTTTGGAGAGTAACAAGGCTCAGTAATTGCCATTTCTTGTTAAGTGTCACCTTTTACCAAGAGCCTCCACTTCAAATGCAAAAGGTTGCTTTAAACACTCCAAGGATATTAACATAATGAACACGCTGCCTGTTTTGAAGGTGACTAATAAGTGACTAATGATACCTGTTTTTATCCATGTGTATAATTTTAAAATGTTAATTGTATGTTTAAATAGTGCTGAAATCATGGATCTGTCTAGAACAGTTGAGTTTTACAGAATACTTTTTAAGAAGATTTAGGAAAAATGAGAATTTTAGCTCCAGGTTAGCAGTGCTGGTCAGAGGTACCATATGGTGTAGTAAGTTTTAAATCTTTTTTGAAGAAGTAAGACACAGATGCAACAGCTTCTGGTCTTCTAGAATAAAATGTACTAGCAGAAGAGCCAATCCACCTTCTCCTAGAGCTGCAACCAAGCATGGTACTGTTAATTAGCAGAGGCAGGTGGCCTGCTGCCGTCAATGGCAAGAGAGTAACTTTTCAGGAGGAGCTGATAAATTGTGTGGGTTGAATAAATGTGATACAGAAACAGCAATGATAGGGCAAAAGTTTGAAGTAAACTTTCGCGTATAGTGACTGTAATGAGCTTCACTGAACCCAGGTCTTCATACTACGATATTGTCTATAATATGTTTTTACACTTTGCCATGTTAAGGAATGTAATAAAAGTATTAATGTATTTGGAAGGAATGTACTTTTGTGGAGGTTACTTCAAATTGGTCAACAGTTGAATGGCCGTTTTAAAAGACTGTGTTATAAAAATATATTTATCACTTCAATAATAAAGCCTGCGTTGTAAATAGCAAGAATAGTGAGTGCTATACCTTTGATAAGCTAAATCTTTTGTAAGCTTGCCCCTGGAAGACTTTTTGCGTAGTATTGTGCCAGTGAGGCTGGGTTGTGTCATTGTCTCCAAACTAAGCTCCAGGGTGTGGACAGTGAATAGGATGGATAATGACCTTTGCATGTGTAAAGATACATTTTTTTTTTTTTTTTTTTTTCTGCTGGAAAGAAGGACATTTATGCTGCTGAAAGTGTACAAGCCAATAATTCTTCTAAGAATCAAATGCAGTGCTGTCATAAATGATGAGAGCTGAGTCTGAATGCATTAATAAGGAATTCCCGCTTGAAATGCTTCTGCTGGCTGAGAAAGGCAGGTTCTGGCAAATCTGCACATGTGAGCCATGCCTTTGACTCAGCAAGGCACACTGTCGCAGAGCTTTGTAGTTGGCCAGTTAAAGGTTTTTTTAAGAGAACTGAGTCAGACATCCTTAATTGTAAAAATATAGTGTCTGCTCTTTCTTCTCAGAAGTTCGAAAATGTTTTACTTTGTTTGCTATTTCTTCACATATATATATAATATATATGTTTGTTTATATGTGTGTGTACACACTATGTATTTTTCCATGTTGTGCTATTTGTTTACTGTTTGCATTTTCTGTCAGTTTCTGCTAAATTTCAGGCATGTGCTTCCAACTCAGTAGGAAAGCTGCATAGTTTTAGTTTGTAAGGGTAGTAGAGATGTTATTAGGTCCCATTTAAAGCCCTTTCAAGTCAGTGAAAAGACTGTCACTGGTTTATAGTTGAATTCAAAATCTGTTCTTTTAAGTAAATATTATTTCCTTTTCAGGGAGGAAAAGCTTAATTTAAGGGGAAATTTGTATATGTACATTTTTGGAACAAATTGGATTCTAAGCCAAATGTGATTTCATGCATGACTGTTGATTTTTACTGAGCATGTGTCATAGTGAAGATTTTATTTATTCCAATAATGCACATATTAGCAAGGATTTATAGATCTGAAATGCTTTATATTTGTAAAAACTTTCACATATTTTATAAGAGTGCTTTGGAAATTACTTAGGTAATATTATTGTAAAAAGAACAAACCCAAAACATCTGGTTTGCAATATTTCTCATGCCTGTGTATTAACTGTGTATGGTACTAGGTTGTGTAATGCTGTAGATGTATGAATGTTTAGTTTTGCATGCATCTGTGAAGTCCTGCGTATGTTCTAATCTAATTTCTGGTTAGATGAATATTTGCTTAATGGAGACATTTTCCACATTGTG